GGTCCCTATTGATTTCAATGGAGTTCAGGTTCAGTGTCAAGTTCGGGGTCAAGTTCGATCCCGAACCCGAACTTTTTTTTCAAAGTTCCGCTCAACCCGCCGGACCCGAACATCCAGGTGTCCACTCAACTCTATTTATGAGAAACAGACGCTATCCCAAAAAGATGAAGATTGCATTCTAATTACCACCCTGTACCGGAAACCAACTTCTACCAACAGCTTATCGGCATTGGATATTCAACATTGGGGTTGAGATGGGGGATACCCGTATGATATTATTTAAGACTGTACAACACAGTTCAGAAAGCATGCAGATGTATTACATGGGTATTTCAAATCTAAAGGGTACCTAAGAGCCTAGACTACTGAGAGGACTAAACTATTTTTGGAAAATATCACTAGGGGTGAGAGCAATGTGATCCTTTTTATTGAAAAACAATGATATGTTTTAAATATGTGATAAATTAAAGTAATTGATCTTTAGGGAATCTGTATACATTTTATCCTCCAGATGTTTACAAACTGGATATCTTGAATCAATAGCAAATTGATTTACTAGACCCTGAGCCTTATTGGTCTAACTGTAAGATGTGTAAAGCAATGCAAAGGATTTGGTTCCGGATATGAATGTGCTTATTCATAAGATATACATAAGTAGACAGTATGGTGTAATGTCTCATTATTGTATCTAAGATCGAGTAGGAGGCTTTCTGTATACAGGCTTTTTGACTGATTAATGTATCCTGCTGGAGAAACTATATTGTTCCCACAATTTGGGCAATTATTACCATAAGTCTAACCACTTTGTATTACAAGGGTTTATTTTAATGGATTGATATCTACCTTACATCCAGCAACTCTAACATCTTACCCCTCTGTCAGTCTAAAGTGGTTTCCTGTTACATTTAGGATACAGTCAAAATTGCACAGTCAGTCTCCTTGGATAAAGCAGCTATTACCCCACTAATTAGAAATTATATCCCTGTATGTTATGTTTTTGCAAGTATTTACCCAATAGCAGTTTAAACATCTGTATAGACTCTAACAAAACCACCTCTTCAGGCAGAGAATTCCACATCCTTATTGCTCTTACTGTAAAAAAAACTTTTCTTTGCCTTAGTTGAAATCTCCTTTCTTCCAGCCTAAATATGTGACCTAATGTCCGATGTATAGCCCTGTTTATGAAAAGATTTCCAGATAATGGCTTGTACTGGCCCCAAATATATTTATAAAATGTTATCATATCCCCTTTGAGGTGCCGTTTCCAAACTAAAGAGATTTAAATTTTTTAACCTTTCTTCGTAACTAAAATGCTCCATTCCTTTTATCAATTTTGTTGCTTGTCTCTGCACTTTTTCTAGTGCCATGATATACTTCTTTAGAACAGGTGCACAAAATTGCACAGCATATTCATGGTATGGTGTTACCAGCGATTTATAAAGAGGCAAAGTGATATTTTTATCCCAAGAATTCATGTCTCTATTTATACATGACAAAACCTTACTGGCCTTAGCAACTGCAGATTGACATTGCATATTGATGCCTAATTTGTTGTCTATAACAATTCCCAAATCCTTGTCATGTGTGGTTATCCCTAATTCACTACCATTTAGGGTGTAAGTTGCTTGTGCATTCTCGACTCCAAAGTGCATAACTTTGCATTTCTCTATGTTAAATTTCATCTGACATTTTAGTGCCCAGTCCCCCAATCTATCCAAATCCCTTTGCAGCAAAGCAATATCCTGCTCACATTTTATTACTTTACAAAGTTTTGTCTCATCTGCAAACACTGAAACATGGCTTTCAATGCCTGTTTCACAATCCTTAATAAATATGTTAAATAGAAGCAATCCCAAAACAGAACCCTGAGGGACACCACTTACCACTTTTGTCCAGCCTGAAAATATACCATTAATGACAACTCGTTGTACTCTATCCTTAAGCTAATGTTCTACCCAAGAACAAGAATATTCATCTAGACCAATTTCTTTTAGTTTGAAGACTAACCTATTGTGAGGAACCGTATCAAATGCCTTGGCAAAATCCAAGTAGATCACATCTACTGCAACACCCTGATCTATACTTCTACTTACTTCTTCGTAGAATGCAATTAGGTTAGTTTAACATGACCTATGTTTCATAAAACCATGCTGATTATTGCTAATAACAAAGTTCTTCCCAATGAATTTCTGAATATTATCCCTTAATAGCCCTTCAAATATTTTCCCAGTCACAGAAGTTAAGCTCACAGGTCTATAATTTCCAGGCAAGGATTTTGAACCCTTTTTAAATATAGGAACAACATATGCCTTCCTCCAATCCTCTGGTACAATACCTGAAACAAAATAATCTTTAAAAATGAAATACAGAGGTTCACTTATGTCCTCACTTAGCTCCTTAAGTACTCATGGGTGAATACCATCAGGCCCCAGAGCTTAATTTACATTATTTTTTTTTAACTGCTGTAGCACCTTGTCTCGAGTCATCCAATCACAAGTTAACAGTATCCAAAAGAGAAAGAGGACTGGATAGAAGTTAAATCTAGGAGATCAAGACGATATAGTAAAAGAGATGAGAATTGGAAACCACCTACTAGATGGACTCCAGAAAGAAATGAAATAATTTCAACATCTAATAGATTTGAATATCTTAAAAATCATCAAGAAAAAGAGGATTTTTTAGGAGGAAGACCTTTAGAAATAAGGGAGAGGAGAAAAATACATACTTCTTTCAAGAGATCACGAGAACTAGAAGAGGAGGAAATAGAAATCAAGGAGAAAGAAAAAAAGAGGAGAAACAAAAACTTTGGAGAAAATAAATACCAATGAGGAATCAGACAATTTTAGTATTTTTAACTTGTCTGATAAAATTTTAACAGAGGCACATATAAGTATTTTTTAAAAGGGTTTTAAGTTTGCTCGTAGTTGCAATTTGGATAAATTTGACTCCTTTTTACATTTAAATAGGTTTTTAAGAAAATTATGTCTTAAAAAGTTTTTTAATAATATTCCAAAACCCGAAAGGGTTTTAGACACAGATAGTATTTTTATTCACACTAATTTGAAAAATAAATCTTCCTTTTATCCTATAAATTGTAAATCAGATGTAATGAGAACATTTGAGAAGTTATGTTCTAAGGATATTAAAAGATTAAGCCAATTAACAAATATCAGGAAAATCTAACAAAGGAGGAAAAGATAGCTTTGAAAGATTTGAAGGAAGATAAATCCATAATTATTAAACCAGCGGATAAGGGAGGTGGTGTTGTTGTGTGGGAAAAAGAAATTTTTTTACAGGAGATTTATAAACAACTTGAAGATGACAAAACATACAAAGAACCCACTTCCCGAAATGAAATGAAATTATAAAGCGTTTTTAAATGAAGGGTTAGAGACAGGTATTTTAACCAAAAAAGAATAGAGTTTTTAGACGTTAAATATCCAAGGATTCCTGTAATCTATGTTTTACCCAAGATATATAAAGACGTAACTAACCCTCCGGGAAGGCCAATAGTGTCTGGAATAGGGTCTCTTCTGTCACCTTTGTCACAATACATAGATTATTTTTTACAGAAAAAAGTGACCGAATGCCCAGCATATTTAAAAGACACGAGTCTTTTACAAATTACACAATAATTGAACACGAAAAAGGATGCGAGGCCATAACATTTTATTTAAAAAAAACAGAAGATATGGATGATCTTCAAATTGATTTTTTAATGAAAGCAATAGATTTTATATTGAAAAAATTTTTTTTCTGGTTTGAAAAGAAATTTTATCTTCCGATTTTAGGAACAGCCATGGGGACCAGATTTGCCCCAAGTTATGCAAATCTTTTTATGTCCTTCTGGGAAGAAAAGTTTGTTGGGAGGACATTGGGGCAAATCTGGTCCTTTATAAACATTATACAGATGACATTTTTATTATATGGAGAGGGAGTAGGGATTCTTTAGAACAGTTTATTATCTCTCTTAATCAGAATTTTTATAATATTAATTTATCTTATGAGATTAGTATGGATCAAATTAATTTTTTAGACTTCTTAATTTATATAGACAATAACGTTATTAAGAGCAAAACTTTTTTTTAAACTGTCGATGTTAATAGTTTTATAGATTTGAAAAGTAGTCATTTTAGGCCTTGGTTAAGCAATATACCTAAGGGTCAGTTTTTAAGGATGAAGAGAAATTGTACTGAAAAACAGGAGTATTTTAAACAAGCAAATATTTTAAAAGGAAAATTTATTGAAAAAGGATATATAAAGGAAGATTTGGAAATAATTGAGAAGGAAATTGCAGAGAAGGAAAGACAAGCACTTTTAAAATATAAAACTAAAGATAATCAAGAAATTAGAAACGGAAAGGAAGAATTCATCTTATTTTCAATTTTAGTTCTAATAATGTTGCATTACAAAAAGTGACTAAAAAATATTGGTATGTCCTTAAAGAAGATCCAGATGTACTCCCTTTTTTAGATTCTAAACCTAAATTTATCTTTAGATGAGCAAATAATTTCAAACAAATTTTAACAAAAAGTTTTTTAGATAAAGAAAAAGTGGAAAAGGATGGTAACTTCCTAAAATAAAGTAAAGGCTTCCACTATTGTGGTACTTGCAGAGGATGTTCACTTAGGTCTAATAAAAACAAGAAAATTTTAAAATTTTCGTCCTCTGTTACTAAAAGGGAGTATCAGATTAAGTCCTTTATTACCTGATCCAGTAAAGATGTAATTTATATGATAATTTGTCAATGTGGATTTCAATATATTGGCAAGACGACATGCACCTTAAAAACTAGAATTAGGGAGCATATATATAATATTCAACGCAAATTTGTTAATCATAGTGTATCTAAACATTTTTTAGAGGCCCATAACGGGGACCCAAAAGGCATAGAGTTCATAGGCATAGACCAGATAAAAGTCCATATCGCAGCGATCGTGGGGTTAATGGTGCTCCGGTCTGCCTCCCGGTCTGTATTAGAGACAGACCGGGAGCACCTGATCAGGCTGCCCCAGGACATGTGCTCGCTCTGAAAGCCTGTCAGAGCGAGCACATGTGCTGGGGCAGCCTGATTAGGTGCTCCCGGTCTGTAAACGGTCTGTAAACGGGGGTGAGTAAACGGGGGTGGGATTTTAAATAATAAAAAAATTTTTTTAACAGGGGGCAGGATCAGCACTGTTCCGGCTCCCTGCACTCCACACAGAACCAGGAAGTGCAGGGAGGCAGAAGGTGAGTATATGCAGCACATGTGCTCGCTATGAAAGCCTGTCAGAGCGAGCACATGTGCTGCATATACTCACCTTCTGCCTCGCTGCACTTCCTGGTTCTGTGTGAAGTGCAGGGAGCCGGAACAGTGCTGATCCTGCCCCCTGTTAAAAATTTTTTTTTTAATTTAAAATCCCACCCCCGTTTACTCATTTTAATTAAAAATCAACCCCTTCCCTGCCAATTGATCACTGACTACAGTGATACATTGGCAGGGATTACATTTAACTGTCATCTGATTTTTTTTTAACCCCTGAGGGTTAATTCTTTTTTTTTTAACCCTCAGGGGTTACATTTATTTAACTGATTAATTTAAATATTTTGAAATTATGTATTTAGCTAGCTGGGGTGGGTGGAAGTTAGTGGGGAATTGGGGGATTTTGTGTTAGGCTAACTAGGGGTTAAAAAAGTTTTAAAATAAATTTTAAAAAGTTAAAAATTAAGCTAAAAAAAGTTTTAATAACGTTTAAGTAAAAAAATAAAAAAAACACCCCACTTTACCGAGTCCAAATAAAAATTAACCCCTTCCCTGCCAGTCGATCACTGCCTACAGTGATCAAAATACAGATCACAGTATTATACTGTGATCTAATTTTTTTTAATCCCTGAGGGTTAATTTTTATTTATTTTTTAACCCTCAAGGGTTCAATTTATTTAATTAATTAATTTAAATATTTTATAATTATATATTTTTCTAGCTGGGGTGGGTGGGAGTTATGGAAAAATGGGGAATTTACTGTTATTGCTGCTTACTGTTAGTTAGGGGTTAATGGGAAAAAAAAAGCTTAGAAAAATGTTAAATCTGTAAGAAAGTTTAGGAAAGTTTAAAAAAAAATAATAAGCAAAACAAAAGTTTAAAAACTAGTTTTTAAAAGTAAAAAAGTTTCAAAAAGTAAAAAAATACAGACCGGAGCACATTTACATGCTCATTACCACTACACCTGGAACAAACTAGAGAAAAAATTATCCCACGCGAAGGTTCAGAATATGCCTTTTGAACTACCCCAGGGTGTATTCTTTAATAAATAGTATGTGTTTGTGGGGAAGTTTCAATAACCAACTGTCTAAACTACTCCAAATTGGAACATGGACACAGCGTAAAACTTCAAAGTTAGAAAAAAACTGAATGGCTGCGTCTCAAATGCGCCCCTTCAACATCCACATATACCTGGCAAAGGTACATACGGTGGTATTGCTGTACTCAGACGACATAGCTGAGCAACATATGAAGTATTATACAGTCGTAGCACACATAAGGTTTGCAAAATATACTGTGCAAACTCACTTTGTGTGTCAAAAAGGCAGAAAAAACACTTATTACCACTACACTTGGTACAAGCTAGCGGAAAAATGATCCCACGCTAAGGTTCAAAATATGCCTTTTGAAATACCCTGGGATGTCTTCTTTAAGAAATGGTATGGCTTTATGGTGTATTTGGATTATATAGCCTGGTAAAATACTCTATAATGGGACATGGGCACAGCGTAAAAATGTAAAGTTTGAAAAAAAACTGGAATGGCTGTGTCCCAAATGTGCCCCTCCGATGTCCACATATACCTGGTAAAGGTACATACGGGGGTATTGCTGTACTCAGCCGACATAGCTGAGCAACATATGAAGTATTATACAGTCGTAGCACACATAATGTTTGCATAATATACTGTGCAAACTCACTTTGTGTGTCAAAAAGGCAGAAAAAACACTTATTACCACTACACTTGGTACAAGCTAGCGAAAAAATTATCCCACGCTAATGTTCAAAATATACCTTTTGAAATACCCTGGGGTATCTACTTTAAGAAATGGTAGGCCTTTGTGGGGTAGTTTGAATTTAAACCCTGCTAAGATGCTTGGAAATTGCACATAGGCCCAGCGTCAAAATTCAAAGTTCGGTAAAAACTGATATGGCCTGGACTCCTATATGGCACTGTAGCTTCATGAAATAGTGCCAAAGACATTCATTGGGGGTGTCTTTTTACTCAGAAGACTTAGCCAAGCATAATTTGGGGGGTTTGAACTTAGTGGCACATGTGAAATATACAAAATGCCCAGCAAAAATGCAATCCATATGTAAAAACCACACAAAATTATTTTTTATCACATACTTTAGCATATATTGGTGAAAAAATGGGGATGTGTTAAGGCACTATATGCACCTTATGAGATACCCTGGAGTGTCTACTTTTACAAATGGTAGGCCTTTGTGGGTTTTTTTTGGAACAGTTAAACTGGTATAATACCCCAAATGGAAGCATAGGCTCATTAAATCCATCTTTCAAAATTCTACTGTGAGTACTGAAAAGGACAGGTCTCCTATATGGCACTGTATCTTCATGAAATAGTGCCAAAGACATACAATGGGGGTGTCATTTTACTCAGAGGACTTAGCTGAGCATAATGTGGGTGGTTTGAACTTAGTGGCACATGTGAAATATACAAAATGCCCAGCAAAAATGCAATCTATGTGTAAAAAACGCACAAAATTATTGTCTACCACATACTTTGGCATATATTGGTGAAAAAATGGGGGCATGTTGAGGCACAATATGCACCTTATGAGATACCCTGGAGTGTCTACTTTTACAAATGGTAGGCCTTTGTGGGTTTGTTTGAACAGTCAAACTGTTATAATACCCCAAATGGAAGCATAGGCTCATTAAATCCGTCTATCAAAATTCTACTGTGAATACTGAAAAGAACAGGCCTCGTATATGGCACTGTAACTTCACAAAATAGTGCCAACGACATACAATGGGGGTGTCACAGAATAAAACTTTGTACAGGAATAGCACACACCAACTTTACAAAATACACATGAGAATTTCTTTGTTATATGTTTGTGTCCCAAAAATCCAAAAACCCCCACAATTTTACTCCAATATTTAGCAGAGGTTGGCGGTGAAATAGCTACATAGAAAGTGTCAAAACAAGCATAGGTAAATAGCCTGTGATGTCTACTTTATATAAATATATACTTTTGTGTGGCAATTTTGTTTTCTTTTACGGCTATTAAGCTTACAAGACAAACATAACAAATTCTAAAATCGCTCCACATTAAATGTTTATTTTACTCCTTGTGCTTTGTGACCTGTAACTACCAAAAAAAAACTTAAAATCCCAGACACATTTTATATTCTGTAAATCAGAACAACTAAATGAATTTATTTTTAATTACTTTCCTTAACCTGCGCTAATTATGCACACATTATAATTGCAAAAACTGTAAAAAAAACACAAAATATTTCTTTTTTTTTGCATTTTTCTGTATTTTTTTTATATTAAATAAGCATTTATATATATATATATACATATATATATATATATATATGTATGTTACATCAAATTAAAGCCCTTTCTGTCCTTTAAAAAATGATATATAAAATGTGTGGGTGAAATAAATTAGTAAAAAGCAAATTGCAGTTGAACGCAAACAGCAAAAAATAAAAAAAAAAGGCTGTTGTCATTAAGTGAAAGACAAGCTTCTGAAGTTCTGTCCTTAAGGGGTTAATGTTGATTTTGAAATTAACAAATATGTATAAAAGCCCTATATTTAACAATATTTCCCTTTCTCTTCCTCTTTATTTTTATAAATTTTTTATATATTATTTAATTTTCTATGAATTTTATAATATATTTATTTTTATGGCTATTAATGTATATTTTAATATGAGTATTTATTGTCTAATTTTGAGATTCCTATACCTCTTTTGTTATATATAATTTTTTCTTTTAATATATGTACCAATATTCTTAAGGAAGGTCTTCTCCTTTAATAATCTAATTTTTTTAATGATTTGCATCTTTTTGCTTAAAAGATTAGATTAATATTTATTATTAATTTATATATATATAACTACTAATTATTGTCAATTAATTTAAAATCAGTAATATATTTACTTTTTTAATAGTATTTAAAGGCTATCATAGATTTGTTTGCATAATTATCAATTTAGGTAGCACATTTCCGCTTTTATAAACTTTATCTGTACGGACTTCGTTGTTATGACGTTTCTGACACGTCCTAATGTAATTGGAACCGGAATTAAGAATAGACGTCAGGACGAGACGACGCAGGACGCGTCCTGACCCGGAACCCGGAAGTGAAGAGCCGCGAATGTGGCGAAAAGGGCGCGAAAAACAGGTTTAAAAAACTGCATGCCAGGATCACACGCATAACCTCCGACGAAGGCATATTGCGAAACGCGTCAGATGCTTTTGGACTTTCTATTTATGGGACTTTTCTCTTATTATTTTGTATTATTTTAATTTGTTTCCTGTTATTGGATTAATAAAAGTGTTGTAACCTGAACCTGCGTTCTCTGGCGGTACACTAAATACAATTTTGGGAAGGACTCAGCTGAAGTCCAAATGGTGATTTATTCAAGGCATGCAGTTTGAGCCAGCTTTATAAGTGACTCCACTCATGTGAGTGAGACCAGTACAAGATTTTAGTTTTTATTTTAAACGTTATTACCCTATGTGTTTTTTTCCATTTGTGTTTATTTTCAGAACCTGATCCTATTTGGGTAATATTATTCTTATTTATTTGAGTGCTCTCACCATTTTCTTTTTAACTTGTCACTTGTATTTATTTAGTGGTTATTGTGGCTCCACTAAGGTGATTGTAGCACCACCACTTTCTTTTAGGAATTCTTCACTTATATTGTATTTAATCACAATTTATTGTATATATTGTATTTAATCTTGGTTTTGCATTCTTTGGCTATCAATTTCTCATTTTCTAGCTTAGCCATAATTGCCTTTTTGCAAGCATTATTGGCTTCCTTATATCTTATATAGGATGCCTC